CAGCCGGGTGCCAACCCTGCCGTTATATAGGGCTGAGCGGGTGACGTGGGGCCAGCTAACCCGAACTACAACACTCACCCTCTGGTTGTCATCAGGGCTGGAAATTTATGGTTTGTTTGCCCTCCATCCTTAAGCGCCTCTGCTCACGTGCCAGCTGTTGCGCTTCCGTGATAAGAGGTCCCAAACAAACCTCAGCAAACAGCACCTGATGTTCACACAAAATTCCACCAAAATGACAAACGCTCCTGATAACGATTTTTCTTGTGTTTTTTATTACTTACAGGATTTGATGCCAAACCCTGTGGGGACATTCAGTGGCCCGGGCCCTGCTGGAGATCTCCATCAGACGCCCTTTAGGGTCTGCCTACCCTAGCATGGTGCATCACCCGAGAGGGAGCCATGCTCTCTGACCTGCATCCTGGTTCCCATGCACACCAGGGCAGCAAAGGGGCCTCGTCCCCAGCCCTGACCCCGCCACGGCGATGCAACTGCCCGGCTTGGTGCCAGCCCTCCAGCCGTGAAGCCGTCCCATGGGGCAGCCACGCATGCGGAGGTGCGGCTGCCCCAGTGCTGGTGCGGGGCAGGTCCCGCAGCCCTCCCAAGAGGTCCAGTGCGGGCGCCTCAGGAAGCCGAGGGGTCTGCTGGAGGGTTTAGCTCTGACTTCACAGCTCTGGGTAAGCTGGGGAGCGGACCTCATCACAGAGCTGGCTGCAGACTCAGTGAACAAGGTGGCTGTGGTTTAAGTGGAATAAACGTTTAACGGATGTTGAGTGCTCCAGTCTGAAGCCAGCCTTGCAAATGGCACAGGAATGGGAGGGGGGTGCTAAGGAGGGCAGTGGCATAGCCTGGCGATGCTGGCTTATAGCTCAGTGACACCGGTCTAGGACCGCGGCGAGGTATTTATCGATGGTTTGACACCAGCAGCTGCTGGGCCGCCAGAGCGTGTCCCTGCACCAGCCTCGGGACGCTCCGCAGCACCGCCGGGGCCTGGCGCCGGCTCTGCTGCTGCGAGGCTGCTGCTGGTACTCGGCCCCGTGCTGCCTTCATCCCCAAGTCCCTCATCCCCAGGTGGCATTGCCACCTCTGCTGTCCTCCAGGAGACCAGCAGGTGGTGGTGAAGGTCCCGGCAACAGCACACCCTGCCACCGTGCCAGCACCGCGCCGTGCCCTGCCTGGCCCCTGCCCTCGGTTACGCCAAGACTGAATGACTCTCCTTTCAGTACGGCGAGGAGGACGTTTTTCACCAAGGGACGCACCTTCCCCTGCCCTACACCAGCCCCTCGTAAAGTTACCAGCTCCAAAATTACACGCGTATTCACAGGAAAAAGGATTCTTGCCAGCTCCACTTTGCAGTAATATTTGTCGTGCTGTTGGACAGCAATGAATAACTTAGGCCTGATGCAAGACTGTCCTCAGCAATTTCCTTTTAATGAGGCGTCTTTCCTTTTACAAGAGCTTCCCAAAGTCCCTTGACAGATAACTGGGGCTGTAGCATTTGTCTTTGATACATTTCTGGCAGCCAAATTTCACAAAGATGAAAAGGGTCTTCCCAGCCCTTTCAGCCAGCCCCCCCATGCCATGCAGGAGCAGGGCTGCCTCCCCACACCCACCACGGCACCAAGTGTTGGCACCAAAGCCAAGGTGCCAAGCCGTGGCTGACATCCCAATCTGTCACTGCATGTGACCCCGCTGAGCACTGGGGTGGCCCTGCCTGCTGTTACCCTTCGATGCCTCCTGCCACCCTCACTCGATAGCCATAAAAGAGGTCCCTGAAGCAGGGACCCCATCATGAGCTCTCCTTGCGATGCTGGCCCTTGGAGGAGCGGCAACGGGGCACAAGCAGCCTTGGAGCAGCAAGCCCCGCTGAGGCACACGGAGGTGGCAAGTGGAGCTGAATTACGGGGCGAGGGAGAGGAGGCGGAGGAGGGGGCTGAGCCTCCTCTGCAGGTGGGGACAGACTTCTGCCCCCTCGCTCCTCCCCTGCCCTCACTCCCCTGGTGGGTCCTGCTGCCAGTGGAAGCATCACCTTCTAGAAGACAGAGTGTACTGCAGCCAAAGACCCACTGCTACTGACACGCAGGAGTACAAACGCCCAACAGGGCTGACGCAACGTGGGTCCAGCAGAGTCAGCCGGCAGGTGACGGGTGAGGACCTGCTGATGCCTCCCAAGGCACCGTATGAAAAGAGGGATTGAAAGAAGAGGGGAACAAGGAGAAGACTCCAACCCAGTCCTGAGGGTTTGCCAAAACACCCTGCGGTAGCGTGAGAAAGAAGTTAAGCCTCCCCTGACAGATGTGGTCCCAACAGCTGTAGCCGCTGCTTGATGAGCTGGCCACGAGTGCATTTAAGATGCTCTCCTAGACAGCACCCAGCCTGGACCAGGCTGCCGGGGCGATGTCCCCCCCACGTGCAGTGGGGAAGAGCAGGAGGTCAGCAGAGCCCTCCTGAGCCTGCAAGACGTACGGGCCAAGGAAGGGAAGTGTAAGGGAAGGGGTACTGCATAGACATCCCCCCCAGCCTATTTTTGCTCAGAGCTGCCCCAAGCATCTAGGGGACAAGGATGGCCCCTAGGAAAGGCTGCTGCCTTCAGCCCTCAGCCTCTACTGATCGAGGGCAAAAAGGCATCAGTATTTGCAGCCCAGCTCTGGGTCTGACCTCCTGGCAGCTCTCTGCAGGGAAGGAGCCCGAGACAGACCTCCAGCCATCACAGAAGTGTCGGGACATGCTGGGAGCTGGTAACTTGACAAACCATTGCTCATAGGTTTTACCCTCTTTGATCTCCAGATGATACCAATCTCCCCTGTGCCCTTGGTGTTCATGCTCCTTCCCTTCTGTTTGCCTTTCCCCTCTCCTTTAGCTCCTTTATTGCCCTGCAGCAGTTGGTAGATCCCCAGAAAGATTTAACTCCTGGGCAGGTCCAGTATATTGCTGTTGATAAACGCCCCACAGCTGGGAGGTTTGGAGTACTGTATTTTTTCCTCAGGAAAAAAAACCCTTAGGGCCTCTTTGTGTAATCTTGAGCAAAGAGAAACCACCAGATGGGCATACAGTGATTAACTTTGTCCATGCAAACAGGGGAGCTGAGATCCTCACACAGAGGAGGTGTGTACAGGGAGAGACCCAGGTATAAAGGGGCAGAGGCCAGCATGGAGTTGAGAGCAGTGGGACTGACTGCTCAGGCTCCCGGCGTCTGCTCAGCAGCACCACAGCAATGGGTGAGTTCTCCTCTTCCTCATGGCTCCTTTTCTGCAGTGCTCACAGCTCTGGGGGATGCAAGTAGAAAACCAAGCTAAGTGACAGCAGTGGAGGACCACAGGAGTGGGAGCTGACGAGAGTGTCCAGCGTCCACCCCGCTCCTCCCCTTTCCACCCAGCCATTTCTTTCTAGTTCTCTGCTGCTGCTGGGTTGTTTCCTGCATCCCTGTGAATGGCATGCTCCGCAGCTGGAGCAGCAGGTTTTATACGCTAAACTCAGCTGCAGTGCTTTGAACTATTTGCTCTGAATGTCCTTAACACAGATTTACTTCTTTCCCACAAAAATATCCTTTTGCATCTAGACCTGTAGAAAAACAAACAAACCACATTTAGGAGAAGCATGAGAAAATGTGACTGCAGGTTGCTGTCTGGTGCAGGGAAGGGGCTGACCAGGAGGGTCATTTCTCGTCTTGCTTCAGCCCTGCAGGGGCAGAGCCTGCACCAAAGCTGCAGCTCCCACCACGCCGGGAGCCCCCTGCTCCTGCCTGCACCCCGTGGCTCTGCCTTTCCTGGTCCGAGCTCCCTGGGGGCCGGGGGGCTGCCCAGGGATCCTGACAGTGATGGGCACTTTCCTCCCTAGGGCTCCAGGCTGGGACACGTCGGCTCCACGGGGACCTTGTCCTCCTGCCCACGGCGATGGCAATGCTTCTTCTCTGCATGAGCCCAGCACGTGCTGCCAGCCTCCAGGACGGTGAGTATGGGTGCCGGGGGGACAGTCGATGAGCTGCCAGGTTTGGGTGCAGCCGCGCTGCCCGTCACTGAGCGCGGCCAGGCTCCAAGGTGCTGGATGCAAGTGTCCCCATGCCAGCAGCCACAGAGACAGCAGGTCTCTGCATTCAGACCTAAGCTGCAGAGTAGGGTAATCCTTGCCTCTCATCACCATCACATCACCACTGATGGTGATGACCAACGTTCCCAACACGTTCCACTGGTTGCAGAGCACCCAGTGAGATCCAGCATCAGCAGCATCAGTACCGCTGCCCCACAGTAACCTGCCAGCACATTCTCCAGTACAGGTCCCTCATGTCTTCCTTGATCTGATGCCGCAGGGGTCCCCGCAGACTGCAGCCATCTCCACAAGACCAGCCCCAGCGGGGTGTACGTCATCCAGCCGGCAGGGTCTCCCCCACGTGTGGTGTGGTGTGACATGGACACCGAAGGCAAGGGCTGGACTGTTGTCCAGAGAAACTCTCATGACACTGAGATCACGTGGAAGCAATCCTGGACGACCTACAAGTACGGCTTCGGGAACGTGCAGGGTGATCACTGGCTGGGGACCGAGTACCTGCACCTGCTGACGCAGCAGGGCACCTACAAGGTCCGCTTCATCGTGCGGAATAAAGCCAACGTCACCCATTACGCCGAGTACGACATCTTCAGCGTGGAGAGTGAGGCTAGTGGGTACCCGCTGAGGCTGGGCCGGTTCCTGGGCAGTGGGGAGGACTATCTGACCAGCTATCACTCCGGGTACGGGGGCATACACGACAACATGAAGTTCAGCACGACCGACAGGGACCAGGACCAGCACACCGGGAACTGTGCCAACAGCTACGGGGGCTGGTGGTACGACAAGTGCCAGAACGTCCTGCTCAATGGCAAGAAGTACATCTTCTGGCCAGGAATCTGCTCAAGCGGTGACTGCACATCCTCCCTCATCCTGGTCAAACCCACAGATGTGTGCTGACCGTGCCGCAGTGCCCAGCCTCCCAGGAGTTTGTGGGAGTGCCACCGTCCCCAGCTCAGTGCCCCGTTCCTGTGCCTGCCAACAGCCCTGTGCCAGCCCTGGTGCACGTCCTGCGCTGCCTGCAGCTCCTGCACTGTCACCAGCTGAAACACAGCAGCTCTGGGGCTCAGGAGCAATCGCCCGGAGCCCCGGGCACGCGGGCAGCTTCACCCAGTGCCACGGTGCTGGCCGGCACTGGGACGCAGGCACTGGTTTGGGGTGGGTGCGCCCACTCCTGTCCTGGGGATGGGGAGACAGTGCAAGTTCCCTTCCCTGTGCGATCGGTGTATCCCTGCTTTGCTCAGGCCCTGCTGCCTCGCCGGGCCCCATACGCCCCACAGCTCTGCTACCCATGGTGGAAGAAATCAGCTGCAATAAACCCTGGAGCCAGACTTTGCTGCCTTGCGTCTGCCTGCCTCCATGGCACTGCACATAAGTGTGTGTGGGATCACTCTGTCCAGTCTTGGGGGTGGTGGACCTGGGGGAAAGTAGGTGTATTATGCAGGTCCTCTCCTGGGCAAGGAGACACCCCTGATCAAGGGATGCCAGATCTCCCTGGGACATGCAGAGCTCACCTCCCCCAGTACTGGCATGGTGGCTGCTGGTTTCAAGATGATTTGCTCAGGCTGAGCTGGTGTAGAGCTGGTGTGGCATGCACGGGTTTTGTGCTGATCTTTATTTTTTTTTCTGAACTATTTCAATGTTCCATAATGAAAGGCCCAGCACTGATTCTCCCTGCTGCTGACTGTCCCCAGCATCAGTCTGTAACATGAGTTTTCTCCCTTTGGTTCAGTTGCTGTACACAGCTGAGTACAGCTGTTGTACCTAATTCTGTTTGTGTTTTGGTTCTCAGGTCTCTGGATGCAATATTGCTTCCAATGGCTTGTTCCAACCACTGTGCACTAAACTGTGGCTGTAAGGCTACGATTAACCAACAGGGCTAGCAAAACCCAGTATCTTGCAAAAGCCTCGCTCATAGTTTGTCCCTGTCCATGGCTGGGTGGTTGCTTTATGCTGGGAAAGGGAAGAAACCACCACAGATTGGAGTGTAGAGAAGGTGGTGGGCTCCCTGAGGGCATAAGAGATGTGGGTAAGTCAGTCCCATCGTATTCTGCTGCACAGGGGGAATGTGGCTATGGATCTCCTTTATGATGGAGGGAAGTTTGAACTTAGGGCTTGAAAGAAGCCATGGTTCCTCTCAAGCCACCTTGAAACCCAACTCTCTTCTTTAAGTGAAAGTTTTGTCTTTAATTCCTCATTTGAAACTTATGAAAACTTTTTCTTTTGAAAGTCTTTTCTTACTGCACCAGGAGCCTCAGGTCTGCTCCTGGCAAGAAACTGGCCACAGTTGTGAGAAGTTCCCAAACAAATGAAGGCCATTTGTGCATGTCTGTGCAGGTTCTGAAAGCAATTTTATTCTGCAGAATGAACACAGACTACAGCAGGGATATGGTGCATACATGGCCTGCCTGGGCTTAGAGCAGCTTAGATCAGGTTAGCTAGTGATGACTGATATTTTTCTGCTGAAGTCATCTATACCCACAAAGCAAAAAGAGAATAAGACCTTGCTGGATCAGGGGGGTTTTAGGTTTCTGAGCACAGTTTTCTCCCCAGAAGGAACATGCTTGGAAACCACAGTGTTTATAAAAACTTGTCCTAATAATGATCCCTAAAAACCCATCACAAGTGAAAGGCCAGAGACAAAGCAGGGGGGTTTGTTACTTTTCAAGAGAAGAGGAAAAGAAAACAGCTCTTGATATACGGGAACAACCCTATTCACCCCCAGCCCCCCAGCCAGCAAAACGGGCCCCAGCAGGGCACTGGTCTGGCAACTAGCAGTAGGGAGCTGGTTTGATGAGGATGGCAGAAGCTTTGCAGTTCCCGTTGCACAGGCTGCCCCACGTTATGCCCCCTTTGACGTTCAGCCGTACAGAATAACATGCCGAGTACCACCACCCACCCCCAGAGCGGGAGGCACAGTTCCCTCTGTAAGTGTCCTGATCCCGATCCTTTGTGGAGAACTTCATGTTGTTGTGCACGTTCCTGGGATTGTCTGAGTCCATGGCATCCTCCGCTGTACCTGTGTAGGAGCCCAGCCTCAGCCGGTAGCCGTGGGACTCATCTTCCAGGCTGAAGAGGTTGTAGTCTGCGAAGTTGATGTTGTTTGCGGCATCCCAGATGACAAACCTGACCTGGTAGACCTTCTGCTGGGAGATCTGATGGATGTACTCGGTGCCCAGCCAGTACTCGGTGTGCACGTTCCCAAAGCCGTACTTGTAGGTGCTCCAGGACTCAGCCCAGGTGATCTCCGTGCTCTGCCGGTTCCTCTGGATGACCGTCCAGCCCCCGTCCGTCACGTTCATTTCGCAGTACACCACGATGGGGTGCAGTCCTGTGGGCTGGATGACGTAGACGCCGCTGGGGCTGCCAACAGAGACCTCGCTGCAGTCCTTGGGCCAACCTGGGGCAGGAGAGAGGATGATTTAACAAAAGCCTGTGCAACAGGACAAGACCGTGTTTCACCCTGTGGCAGGATAGAGGGACCTCTGGCCAGGATACCTGGGGGATACTCAGCTGTCCCAGCCCAGAGAGGTCAATGTGCTTGGCTGGAGGTGAGAGTGGGTTGGCCTCAGCCCTCTGTTCCTCTTCCATATGGCACACCTAACAGGAGGCACCAGACCCACTGGGCTATGATGGTTTCAGGCCAGGAGACTGATATGGACACTAGTGGGCTCCTTTGGGCCTCCTGAAAAAGGGGTTGTGTCACTAAAACAGGGTCACACTGGAAGGAAGCTGAAGAGGACCTTGCCCCTGCAAGGGGCAGAGAGAACAGGAGAAAAATGACCCCTTCAAGCACACAGACACCCTTACCAGTCTGCACAGTGCGCACACACACATGCACATACACAGAACTTGCAGTTAAGGCCTTCCTGACGGATGGGCAGAGCTCCTCTCCCCAGCTGAGCAAAGCCTGGGGTTGATGCTGCCTCTCCCCAGTGTGCCTGCCTGTATACACTATGGAGGTGTTTTTTGGATCTGAGGCATCATAGCACACCCTCTCCCAAGGGCCATTTTACCAAGCCTCCACTGGCCCAGAGCATAGGTTGGGGTTGTTCACCAGCCAGGACTGACCCAGACCAAGGAACTGAAAGGTGTTGGTGAGAGCACTGTGATGCCCACGGGATGCTACATACTGGTTTTCTTCAGAGCACTCGCTGAAGCGTTCGAGGGAGATTTCTTGAAGATGTTTAGGGTTTGTACATGCATGGAGTGGCCTGGGGCAGCCAAGACCAGCACGCAAGCAAGGAGTAGAAGGCACTGGGCTGCTAGAAAGGGAAAAGATGGAGAAAAGATGAAATGTGACCCTCCCTCCAGAGAGGCGGGAAATCCCATGGCTCCAGCACTGCACAGTGTCACACGACTATGTGAGATGCAAAAAAGGAATGCACCAAGCACGCTGGGCAGCATCAGACTGGTCCGTGCAAGCTGGAAAACTTGCCAAAAGGCCTCAACCCTTTTGCCCAAGGGGTAGACAACCTTGCCTTTTCCCTTTGGCCAGCTCCCGAAAAGTCATGCATGAGATATTGCTCCACCCAAAACTAAGCACACAACAACCGACTGAGCCAAGTTTCATTCCTGGCCCCTAAAGCAGGGGACTGGCTGGGATGAGCCAGAAGGCAGGGCACAAGCTGCTGGTGTTCAAAGGGGTGCCAGGTGAGCATGCCCTCAGAGGGCACCGATGCCACTGCTCCCCATCGGTGTGCGAGGACCAGTGCACGGAGGCTCTCCCTGTTGCTGGGCTGCCCTGCCTGTGCTCCTCCCATTGCTAGCAAGGAGCGCCTCGCTTCCCAGCCCAGTACTCACCCATGGCGTCCATGCGCGAATGCCCTCTGGAGCACAAAGCTGCGGAGCAGCAGGTTTCACAAGGCTTTTGTAGGGCCCTCTGCAGTGGGCGGAGTGAGTGGGTCCTACCCCCACTCCCCACTTCCTTTCTCCTGGAGGAGGAAATCGGGCTGGGTTTCCTTTATGCCCTTAGAAAACACAAGCTGAGGTGAAGGTGCCTGTGGTTCTAGGTGCATAGCTTCCTGAGCTGCAAAGAAAATAACCCCCGTGCCAGCAAGAGTCCTTGGAATGGTCTCTTCTGTGAGTGCTTAGCTCCTTGGATGGAATTTCCCCTGGGAACAGCATATTTGGGAGCTCTGAAGAGTGCAGCTCGGTAAATAAACACTTGAATGCCAGTCATCAATCAGTGTGGAGAGCAAACACTGGGAATGTCCCCACCTCCCACCATTACAGCAGGGTGCTGCCAGGTCAATTGGTTCTTGTTTAATGTGCTTTTGACAAGCCCAGCCTAGCTCTTGATGGGGAAGCCATAGCAGTCCCGAGACTCCCAGAGAGACTGACTGTTGTGGCACAGTATTTGGAGCAGCTGGTGTTTTCTGTACTGCATGACAGCAGGCAGTGTTGTGGCCTAGGCGATCTCCATCTGGGGGAAGCAGGAGAGGTTTCTATTCCCCAGTGGGCCACAGTCCTGATCTGCAAGGATGCAGCTGAATGGGCCTGCTGACAGACACTGGCTAAAAGGTTTCTGTAGGCCAGCTGAGATAGCTGTGGTCTCTGGGGCACTGGGTTTGGGAGACCGGTCATGCAGGATGGGTGGCTACAGAGGAAAGCAAGTGTCTTTCCAGGAATGGAGCAAAACTGGGCAGATGGAGGGCAGCAACGGGGATCTGAGCATGTACAGAGAGGAATGGAGGGGTCTGAGTGTGCACAGAGGGGAAATCAGAAAGCCTGACCCTGTGTGCATAGAGAGGGAATGGAGGGGATCCGAGTGTGCATGGAGGGAAAATGGAGGGGAATGGAGGGTGCACAGAGGGACTGGAAGGGATCTGATGGCAGAACCCATAGGAACTGAGCACCCACAGAAGGGATGGGTGGGATCTGAGTGTTGATGGAGGGCAACAGTGGGAATCTGAGGGCACTTGTCATGGAAAAGAAGGATGTGAGTGTGCACAGAGGGGAGAAGTCAGCACTAAGCAGACACTGAAAGGAACAGAGGAGATCTGAGTATGCGAGGAGGGGAACAGAGGAGATCTGGGTGCATACAGAGGGAAATGGAGGACACTTGAGCATACAAGGCGGGGAATGGAGGGGATCTGTTTGTGTAAGGAGGACAACAGAGGGGTTCCAAGAGAGCACAACGAGGGGAATGGAGAGGATGTGAAAGCAGCTGGATAGGAATGGAGAACAGCTGAGAGTGCTTGGAAGTGAACAGAATGAGTCCGAGGGGATCTAGAAGCACCCAGAAGGGAACAGGGGGAATTTGAAAGCATGTAAAGGGGACATGGTTTGGATGTAAGGCACTCAGAAAGGATGGCAGGGACTGGAGGGTACACAAAGGGGAGTGGAGGAGATCTGAGCATGCCTGGATGGGAACTGTGGGGTTCCAAGGCACAGGTAGGGGAGCAGAGAGGATCTACAAGCACTCAAAAGGGAATGGGGGATAATTGAGGGTCCACAGGGGGGAACAAAGGGAGCCTGAGCACGCATAGAGAAGAATGGAAGGGACCACAGTGGCATGTGGGGGAGTAGAGAGTGCATGGAGGGGAATGGAGGGGATCTGAATGCACACAGAATTCAATGAATGATTTTGATGTGCCCTCTGATGTTCCCCAGGGTCTTTTATTTGCCCTCTGGTGCAATGTAGAGGCTTCCATTTGATCCTCTCATCCCCTAAGAATCACTCCATTTACCTTTTGGTGTACCCAAAAGAAGGTGCACCTTCGGAGGCCTCCAATTTCCCTCCTGTACCCCTCAGACTCCTCTGTTTGCCTTCTGGTGCTGCCTAGAGCCCCCCATTTTCTTTGCAGTGCACCCCAGTGTCCTACATTTGCTTTCCTTTTCAT